TAAGCCTCAGCACTCCATCGAACTAGAGAATATGTCTGTATTACAAAGCGCCTCTAATAATACCTCGTTCCCTAGCTTTTTGTATAACATCCGTTATCTTCACTGTTTCTGAAGAGAGTGCACCCACTGTTGACTCATTGGGCTACGCTGGTGTGGAACTCACTGGTAACTGTTTGGATTTTCCCGATGTAGATAAGGCACTTATGCTGGTTGTAGACGAGCCCGAACTACCTCGCATGAGCTACTCAGCTGTTTCCCTCCAGGTTTTGGTCAAATTGATTTGTCGAGTACGAGCCGTGTACAAATAAGCGTACCAACGGACACATGTAAGCATATTATTAAATTATTTAATGGAATGCTGAAGGCACGTTCGTACTATTCGGTAATTAGCTTGAAGATCCCATCTATAAGAAATAAAGCCGCAATTTCCTCTCAGACTAGCCCCTACATACCGTTTATTTTTCAATGAAAATTCGTTTTCACAACGTAAAGAGAGTTATACAAATAGACATGCTTGTGGCGATGTATCTTCTATGTAGATCTAAACATCGTCAGTAAGATAATAAACTCCATGAAGGAAATCAACGACTGCCCATGGTGAAGTCCTAGGAGAGCTCTAAAAGAGGTGTGTTGTGATTGCAAGAAAAGTCACTTTAGGCCAGAATCCTAATGAAAAACGGAGACGACAGGTTGAGAAATTGTATCGGGACCCCTAAACAAACCCAACCACCTGACCAATGATGGTTGCGAGGGAATAAGTCGAAAAGGATTGCTTAGTTCCAGGCTCTATCATTTAAAGAAAAACTATTAATAAGAGAACAATCATGCTTTGGCTATCTGAAAAATTGAAATGGTTGTTTCAAGTGGGAAGCTGTGCATTAACTGACTCTCAAGTTAATAGACTGATTGAGAAGGAATAGAAGAGCGAATGAAAACGGGAAGAAATACCTCGAAGCAAGTATTCTTTTCTATCCGTCTATTGTGGGAGCGAAATACATCGCAGCAAGCTTTCTTTTCTATCCCTCTAATGTGGTCCTAGACATGTTGACCTACAAAAAGTGCCGAAAACGTTTTTAAGGGCGCCTTCAGTAAAGAAATAAATGGTACGCTTGTGCAAAAGAAACCAGCATGAATTTGTTGCTGGAGGTGGTTCTTCTACCAAAACGAAATGCGGTTTGTACCTGATGGGTGGTCGGACGACATCTTAAACCATATGCACAATGAGTGTCAAGGATAGGAGACGTACCTTGTCAGAAGCTAGTGTATTTGATGCTAAATTTTCATAGCACATCCTTTACAAGCTCTACGAAACTTGTGCCGCTTAAGCGTGCTCTTTTGTTCCCAGCCCATTCCCGTTTATTGTATCCTGAATAAGCCGCATCACTTTTTTCTTACTTTTTTATTATGTGACCCGTTTTCAAGTCTACTGTGCGGATTCCAGCACTTCTCACATTCGATTCGCTTCCTCGAATCCAATATCCACGAACGTCTTCCAACTTTTTTACGCGTGGCTTCGGCTGCCACTTGGGGATTTTCATTTCATCTTGAATATCGTAGAATCCTGGTCGAGTCGATTCTCTTTGGAGACCTGAGATAACCGGACTAGAGCGTTCCCATTTAAACTGCAGAGATCGATTTTTTCTCGGACAAGTCCGCTACCAATTTCCCGATCCCAGAGAGATGAGAGGTTTGGTTGGCCCGAAGCCGAATCGAATTAACATAATGCTCGTGATGACCGCCATCACTACCATTGTGCCATCCACTCCTGCATCACATTTGAAAACGATAAGTAGAATCTCACATTTAGGAAGCTAATTTTTGAAAATGTCTTCTCGTTTAAGTTACCATAGATTAGTCATCGAGGAATTTGTCCGAACATAAATTTCTCTTCTTGGGTTTATTGACTAAAAGTACATGAGCAGACTTACGTTTACCTTCTCACAGACTGCCTCTTATAGCGTATTTCTGCACTACAAAGAATCGTATTTTAGAATTTAATGCGTTGGGCAGGCAAGCAGTCCTATTAGTGAACTGCTGGAGTTCTATAGCGTGTTTATCACCCTTAATCGAAAAATTCGTTTCTATTTCTGAAAATCTGCTCACGAAATCTCCACGGACATTTTTTCCTCATAGGAAATCTGGTGAGAATTCTCAGATTGCAGTCAAACAGGTCTCGGCTTTCAGCTTGTCGAATTCAGCTTTGCCTGTCTATTCCTCTGTCGACTTCATGCTTTGTGATCTGGTGGATCCAGCAACTAAAACGAACGTCAAATTTTCGTTTAGAGTCGCGAGCTTATTTAAAAACTGGATTCGTGTACTACGTGTTGTCTGTGCAACTCACGCGATCCAATTAGTGATGGATATTATCCAGTGGCCTTCATTCAGATTTACGACGAGTTTGCTCTGCCTGATTTTCCAATATTTTGGCATCGGAATCTGCACAACAAATCGTCCACTGTCGGTGTTCGTCCGAAGTCCGGATTCATGCATTCATCTCAATGTCAGCAGATGCTCCTGCGATTAGTTTCACATTCGATAAGCTAATCGCACTCTCCTTTTCCTACGTAGTGACCTAGCCTTTAAAGCTTATAAAAAGAACATTCTGTGCTATAGAATTATAGGAGAATTTTCCCAATATATAATCTTTTATGTTGGCTACATTTTCCTTGTCATTGCCAGCTCCCAACGCAGGTGGTTTTCCGTTGCCGAACTCTGAAGTAGTTTTGCGGCCGCTGCCTTATTAGTCCTTTATTCAACTGAACGTAAATGAGCCATGACCAACAAATTTCTCATTAGCATTGTCTTCCTTGAGTTCAGAAGGGAAATAAGTCTGACTTCTCCGTCGAGATCGGCTAACATTTACGCCGCCCAGCTAATGCTTAATGTTGTGAGAACAATGCCATCGTTGAGGCAAAGATTATATAATTACCCCACCAGCGACTTTCACTCGGCTGCTATTCTACTCCGATTTTTTCACAGCGTCTTTGAGAATGGGTGTTATTATTTCTGATGAGACGACGTCGCTTCAACAAACTCGTCACTTCATGTCGATGAAGACATCGGTGTAGAATGATAGAATTCACCCGAATTTATCCTGTGCACCCATGTACTGAGTTATATGCTGTCATTTTATAAAGCTTCATAGTTGTTTGTTTCGCATTTCAATGGAAGTCATTCTTCAAGTTGATTGGTTTAGATTAGAGCAGCGGAATTGTTCCCACATGTTATTTTAATGAGTTTCGAAAAGAAATACTCGGCATGTAGAACAATGATTGAATATGTTCAGCAATGTTTGATTGATCGATTGTTCGATCACGCTCTCTGGCCACATAAGATCCTCCTTCGGTCCGGGCTCGGTAAATTCACACTAGATTAGTCTTGGAGGACGAAAACACTCGCTTCACCCATCAGTGCAAGTCATTGAATAATCTAAGTATGCATTCACTCACTTCTATAATGCTTTGCGGAATCCAATGCATCGTACATCTCTAAGCAGTAAAACAGCGCAGAACGCCCTTTTTGTGGGTTTACCCATTCTATCCTCTCTTTTTGATTATCTGAACTCAGTTTTGTACAACTACACGCATGCTTCTTTCTCAAAAATTCAAAACAGCGAAAAATTAATATAAGTGGTAGGGTTAGCTTTTTCTCGGTTTCCGTACCTCTTTTGTTCATTCACTTCACTCAAATTTAGTTCTCACGTTAGAATATCCCACTTATGTTTGCTCGTATTTTGCTTGAAACTATTACCTTTCAATGAGAAAAGTCGGTGAATGTCTGGTTTTCCCGAAAACCTTGTACATCCCATCACAATGAAGATTCGGCTGGTCAGACCACTCACTAATTTTATGTAATTTACAGGATTTGTAAGTTTATATGAAATCGAACGATTCTCATTAGGTGGCGTTTCCTAATGACACGGGGAATGCCGTTTGGGATTTCCATTGGTAGACATCAATTATTATTTGCCATTGTATTCTTCTGTTATTTTATGGCATTTTGTTTTTATTTGTCGAAAACACAGCAATGAGCTATTGGACTACCCATTGCTAATCCATGGCGCTTCTTCTGAAAGTTTTACTTGTATGCTTATATTTGTTATCAATAACGATGCTCTAACTAGGCACGAGGCGCCGGTTCTATTCCTTGGGCGCACCAGGCTTTCCCTCTCTTCGAGATTGGGACAACCCTGGACTATAGCTGAATTCCAACGAGAATCGATCAGTATTCAGCAATTTTGGTACAGAACATCGAAAATCCTCATGCAACAGCCGGACCCCCGTGCGAACATGAAGACCATCGTGGAAGATGGACGCGAGGAAATGAATTGAAGTAAAAGAGTTCAGCAATTTGCATCATACGTGATGTCGGCAAAACAAAAAAATGTCATAGATAAAACTATTTGCCTCTTATTAGATTTTTAATGAAATCTCGGACTTCAAGGAAATAAGCCCAGTCTTTTGGCTAATGCGTGACGATGTTACCAAGGTTGGTCCTCATAACCTATTTTGATTTCATTTGCCAGAATGTCGTTTCATTTCTTCAAATTTTATTCCTGTTTTTGTCATTTTTTCGTTTTTTCCTTTGCTATTCATCCTTCTTCACCCTTACTGTTTTCTCCTGTGATTGAAAATCCGAACTTAAAAATCTCCTGTTTTGACCTTAACGAAGGAAATGGTTGTCGATCAACGTTCTACTAGCTCCTAAATCATCAACCGCTGTTATCAGAGTCCATTTGAATAATCGAAATTAAGGCGAATGGCGTTTTCTATATAACAGCCTATTCGGTCCTACTCAACAGGTTATTCGAATATTAGGATATTAGAAGCTCGAAAAATAACTCGCAACAGAGCAATCGCCTGAGTCTTCGTGTGTATCTCTGGATTTTTTCCAGACAAAGTCAAGTAATATGCCTCCTTAGGCTATTCCTGCTTATTCATTCCATGCGTTTTCGATCGTAGTTCTCCTGCTACTGCCGCTTAAGCCTATTCGTGTTTACAATGGGACGACTTCATCGATTTGACATCGTGCTGAACAACCCGGAAGAAGCTTATTTTGCTGGACAAGAGATTTCTGGAAAAGTAAGTTCTCGATAAGTTGAACCTTTGATTTCAAAGTAGCTTCGTTTGGAATTTTGTTCTCAATGGCGAATATTGTCGATTGCCGTCGTTACACGTGAAAGTCCATCTTCAGCCATTAGCCGCTCATCAATTGTGTTTTTGTATTGCTGAACGTCGTTCTTCCTCGCTTAAACCACTTTAAAATGACGACGAAGTCGAAGTGCTACAAGGGAATTCCGTTCTCTATTCACACCGAAATACGGTATTTAAGTCCATCATGACGGAATTCCCTCATATTTGGGGTCGATAACAAATTTTTTGATAAAATTTTATGTTTAGGTGGTTCTAGAAATACTTGAACCAAAGAAAGTCAGCGAAATTTTGCTGGAATTGAAAGGCAGAGCCCGAACGTATTGGACTCAACATTCAGGTGAGAGTATTTATTGCACGAGTAAATCCTAAGATATTGCAATGCAATGTACATCTACTTCTTCATGCATTGTTCTCAGTACCACGTATTTTTTTTGTAATCGTTAGTTTCCTTAAATTTCTCGTGTTTCTTGATCAAATCTTGGATCAGACAAAAGCAAGAAAACGTCGGAGTTCCAGGTAAATCGCGGAAGCACGTGTCCCACTCGGAGCCGTACTTTCTGGAACAATTCAATACCGCCTACACGCATAAATTCTCAGTTTTGAAAAACGAAAAGGAAAAGGTTCATTCTTGATGCTCTGTTTAAAAGGATTTTGTATATGCAAAGGACTCGAGAGTTCTTAGAGAACCAAAAGCCATCTTACGCACAGCTCAGCTTATAAGTGAGTGGCAGTCAGCGTTAAAAGATTCGTGGAGAGCTTGCTTCGAAAGGAGTCTAGTAGAAGCTTTGCATCGGACTGCGCTTTTCTGGAGCGAAGGGGAAGCTCGTGCTGCAAAGTATATGGAAATGGCCTTCAAGGCATGTAGCTATTAGCTCGGTCCTGCGCTATTAGCTCCTAACCAGATCTTCACTCCTTCCGGGGTTCATGACGTAATGCCAGATTAGTCTGGGAGGAAAGAAAGACCGCCTTGATATATTGGTAGGGCCTCCGCAAGCCACTGTGTAGGTCAAATATGCATTCGGTCTCCCACACAATCCATAGTGGAATGAATCCATGCATGGCATATCCCTAAGGGATACATCAACAAAAAAACAGTGAAATCAAAGTGCTTAGGAAAAGTCGTCACTGAAACAGGAGCGAGTGTTGCCGGCCGGCTTGCATGAGGTGCCATTCTCCTACACGTTACCCAAGACGCTGCCTACTTCGTTTGAAGGCGAATTCGGTTACATTCGATACACGTGCAAGGTGAGATTCTTTTTCGATTTACGGAATTAGATTCATTGTAGGGTGGTAGTAATGAATATTTTGGAGATAACAAGTTCACAACAACCACAACAAGTGCCACCTTATGAATTTATGACGGCTTTTCATAACCGTATTCTATGCAAAGAGTAGAAAGTCGTGAATCCTTTCCGGTGCACTGTCATGTTGTGGAATGTTCAAGCACTGAACACCATGGAGAATTTGTTTATGTTGTTGCGCTTACACGAGGTTGATATGAAATGTTTATTCGGCTAGCGTTTCGACGTCTTCGTCTTCATCAGAGCCGACGATCCTTGTCGATAGTCCACAGTTGTTCCTCTTCTCGATGTGGCATCTTCATCTCGCATCGAACCAGATCTTCCTCAGTTGAGCACCTCGAATGAGCCTTACTCACCCGGTGACGCTCTTTTATACAGGGCGGTTGTTGCTAGAATTATTACCAGTTGACAGTAGTTTTTTTTCAACGGATAACCCAATAATATGCCGCAGTCGGTATTTTGTTAGCTAGCACATGGCGGATAGCAAAACCATGGAGAATGCTCCAGAAGAATCTAATCCATACCTGCTTAGCGAACACTGAGTCTAATATGTTTTCCTTCTACACTCGAAGAAATAGTTGACACTTCATTGACAGAGATTCTAGTAGTTGTTATGCCAAAAATATACCATACCACTTTTAAATTGGTCCTATACTGTTAGTCCCCTTTGAAGACAAAGCACGAAATCTTTTCTTCTACCGAGAACTAGATCTCTTGGTTGGACACAGTCAGCAAAGCATATTTAGCAATAAAAACAAAGATGGGATAAAATGTCTGTTTTTGCAGTATCCTTGGCATTAACATGAACCAGATTCCAGGCAATTTGCGAACGCCCTTGGGATTTCGACATTGTTACCCGAAAAGGGTTCACCGTCATAGGAATAGAAGACATCAACTCAGATCCTCGGGTAGGCCTTCTTCCGGATATTTTTAAACTTAAAATGATTATGAATTATCTATCAGGCATCGAAGCGTAGAAAATGAGCACTGGCCTCAACTGCTGACTGATTTGCTGTGTGAGCGACTAGCGGCTCCAACAGTGTTGAATTTCAGTTAAACGAACCGATTTCGGCTTCTGAGACGAATCGTACCGTAGCATTATGCTGTCATGCCACTGGAAGTATCACTGGCGAGTTGAGCTTGGAGAAGACGGGATTCACAGCCGGAGAAACGATCAACATTTCGTATAGGTCCGTCCGCTTGCGCAACCACTGAATTTGAAAGAGCTCTCCCAATAAACGTGCGCTATTCATTGGCCTTAATTATTTGAAGAAAAAGCTGAGGATCTGCGCGTAGGTGCACTCGATTTTTGTGTTACGCGTCCCATCTATTTTTAACATCACATCCGGAAACCTTAAAAGAAGCAAACGAAAAGTTTCCACTGAACTTCGCTCCGGAGTTTTTTATGCGTTCCACCTCACTAAGTGTTAAGATTCGGACTGCTCAATTGGTAGCACACACATAAGAAGCGTCTAATCACTTTAACTGCAAGGTAATTTGTGCGTCTATGAAGTTTTGTCTCATATGGAGAAATCCTAAATGTGATTAATTAGTTCTTGCTGCTTTTTAAAAAAAGCAGAAGATTCACTCTTTCAGAATCACAAACGAATGCTCACGAGGAAAATCAGTGTGCTTGAAACTTGTACAGAATACTGTATACAGGTGACATTTCACCTCAGATCCTCTGAAATATGGGCGTTTCTTCTCTAAAATGCACACATTTTCGTTGTATTTCTTCTCCTTCTAGGGCAAAAACCTTTGCTGGTCACGAGCAAGTGAAAACGACAACTCAAGTAATTTTAAGGAACGGAAAACCGGAGGTGAGCCCCTTGACCAATGCTGTCCAAATAGTAAAGGTCAAGCTCAAGGACGCTTTTCATTTAATAACTTCTATCTCTACGGCTATCATGCTTCAATCACTTATTATTAGCAGCTGCTGCACGTTAGATAGGGAGTGCTAATATACTTGGTAAATCATTGCCAGCCGCATATTATTTTCTTCAGTTTTCATACAATATTTTTGAAGAGAATAAATGCAGCCAATGTTAATATCCATCAGGAAAGCTTTCTCCTTTCTTGTAATACTTCGAACTTTTGTAAAATGAGAAACACCTTTGTACCACCTGACAGTCTCGACATATATTCGGTATTTTTGAAATTTATAGCGATGTATCCTTGCTTGAAACTCAAGTTTTTATCTCCATTCTTCCCTTGATTCGCGTGTAGCGCAGTGGTCGCAGAAGCCCGTCAAATAGGATCGATGCGCGTGTCCAAGGCTCACAAAGCCTTCCATCCCTCAGGGATCGGCATTGGTAGCAGTTCGATAGGTAGGCCACCACCAATCATTGTTTGGGCTAGATGTGCATTCAGTTCTCTGTAACTACGCTTAATAAAGTCGATTGCAAGGCGCATCTCTCAGGGATAGATCAACGCCAGGAGCTTTATCCTTTATCATTTATTCTTTATTCCTTTTTTGATTCATAGGTAGCACAGTGGTGATAGTGGAGCTGTAACCAGACACCGGCCCGCCAAAGGTCCCATCTTGTGGAGGCCACGAAATTGGTACCACTCATCTGAAATCAACTGGCTTACCTCAATCCACAAAACCTGGAGATTCCTTGTGGCAATGACCTCGGAACGCCGTAGCATGGCTATCTGAGCATTCCAGAAAAAATCAACTCGGCTAACAGTGAACGGTATTCATGAATATGGCAAAATCCCCAACTAACAGGCGAACACTGCGCAAATTTGAGTGCATTCGTGGGCAGCGAGTACGGGGAAACAAATAGAGTGAAAGGAGTGCTATAATCTGCGAAATAAGTGACGTCTAGTGGTGTAAAATAAAATAAAAAGCAACTTTTTTTGCCCAGTTGTACAAAATTCACTTGTTCAGATTCCGGCGAATACCGTTTCGGATTTGCTAACGGATAGGATGGTCTTGCCGTCGCTTCCACCACGGTTAGGCAGGTGCAAAATCATCTCTATCAGCTATAGCATAGATTTGGAGGTGAGACTGTGATTTTTTTTTGATTTTCGGGTTTTTGCATATACCTACACTACAATTTTGCTACGATAGCGCGGAACTGCACTGGTTAGTACCTTAAAATACACCTCTGGCTTTTAGCTATGCTCGCACTTGTTCATTCAAGCATTCCAACCCTTCGGAGTCAGTCAATTCGTAGCAATTAGCTTTGGAAGAAGAAACACATTTACTTCGTTCATCGATAACCTTCCACAAGAAACAGATCAAATATGCATTGAATCGTCTTCACGATGTTACGAATGGAGTCAGTTGATGACGCATCGCTGAGGGATAAATCATAAACCAAACGGTTGTACTTCGGTGTGTGCAACGGCGTCTCTGATTTTTGAGCATTGACCTTAGTCGACACGTGGTATCCACTCTTTTACTTGCATGATACGGCATACTAATACCATCATTCTTTCGACCGTGCGTTCAATAACGCTGAGTGGCCTTTCATCCTGCGTACGCAGCGACCAGGTTTCTGACGCATGCGTTAAGGCAGGAAGTACCGTCGAGTCGAAAAGTGGGCACGGAGTCGGGTGTTTTTTCTCCTCTTTTCTACATCCCTGATGCTCTTGAAAGCTTCCTAAACGTTCGTTTACTCTTGCTTAACTCTGGAGCCAAGTTCAGCCAAGCTCAACTCTGGAGTTCATCATGTTGGTTTCTCGATCTAGATCTTTCCCCTTTATTTCTTTTTAAATTAACATCAGAAATTCTATACATGCTGCACTCAAGTCAATTGGTGCGGCTTAAGTACTGGATTACCGCTTCTCATTCTTACATGTGTTTTTAAGCATTGTCGTTCTCTTTAATATCTAAGGTTTCTTCATTAAGCTCCAGCCTAGTCCCTATTCCCTAACAAATATTTACTATTCGTCTTGTTACATTTATAGAGTTTTTTTTTCGATTTCGGCAACTTTCTTCGAGAAGAATTGGGATTTTCCGCATTCCGATGTTAATACGTGATACTTCTCTATAAAGTCGGTCAATTCAATCGCCTTATTCCTCTCTCATGAGCGCGTGTAGAGCAGTAGCTAAAGGTGCCCTGCAATGTATACGGGGTCGGTTTCTGGTTCGATCCCGAGACCCGTACTCAAAAAACCTTCCATTTTTTCAGGATCCGCATAATGCTAGCACATTTGTCTAGGAGCATAGCAGCACTGATTTGATATATCGGTAGGCTGCCACAAGTCATTGTATAGGCGATGTATACATTAAATCACCTCTAACTGTGCTCGGTGAAGTCGAATATACGGCGCAACCCTCAGGGCCCGATTAAGGCCAAACGCTTTATCCTTTATCCTTGCCCTTTATTTTTCCTGTATTCAGGTTGATCAGAATATAATAGTTTCTTGCGATGTGGTAATTGGAACGATACCTCTGTTGAGTGAGTTGTTGAACCACACTAAAGCACGGAATGGCAAGGACAGCTTGAATTCGAAGAAAGACTTGGCAACTGCCGACAACTGCGTGCAGGTGATTCTTATTTGTCTAAGTGTAGTGTACAAATGGACTAGACAGGAAGAAAAAACTCCGAGTGAACCAAGATGAATATCATTTACACAAAATATTTCAGCAGAACTCTTAGTATCTTTACAAAGCGGTGCATGTTTTGCTTGGAACTGTGAAGTGATAAGGTAATTCACAAAGAAAAGGACGAGTAAAATCCAAAACACAAGGCAGAACAATGATCTTCCTATACTCTCGGCATAAACTTCTACTGGGACTCTAAGACTAATTCTTCAAACCGTTGGAGAATAGATATTTTATCAACAAATCTTGCGCCAGCTGGCAATATCGCAGCTTGTCGAATAGTGCTAAGATCAATAGAGGGACAGTGTAGTGGACTTTTCCGGATGTTCTATGGGTTTTCGAATTTTTCAGTTGCTCTTCACCAGCCCTTTGAAGAGGCTCTCATTTTCTGCATGCGATGTTGTGCTTGCCTTAATTTTAACTTCTATCGTAAAGAATAGCAGATATTTTGTAGGAAGAAACTAGGAACTAAGCATGATCAGAAAATTAGCGGATAAGAATAAAACAAGCGTACAAGTTTCATTTTTGTGATGGAATTTCTATGCTCCAAATTTTTATCCCTCTCATTTTGATCGAATGTGAAAATCGGGATTGTCATTGGGTAATAAAGACAACCATAGAAAAGATTTCATGAAGCGCTCCTGTCAGCTATGTTTGTCCTTGATGCCGGCATGGCTTTGTCTCCCGCGATTAATCAGTGTTTCACAGGGTCCCATGCTCCTTCTTACTCGATAAGATTGCCCTACATATGTTTGAAAAATCGCAGAGAACTGAATGCGATTGTGAGGAAAATTCTTATTTAGCACAATTAGATGTAGAAAGTCATTTTGATGCCCGGTTTTTTATAGCTGACGATCACGGACGAGTCCGGTGAGACGATCTTCGGTGAGCAGTTGAGTAGTGAAGTGGATGCGTTGATGAGTAGCCGGAAGCGTGTTCGAATGCCGAGCTCGATCCTCTCTGAACTCTACCCCACCATGCCAAGTCCTTACTATAGGTAAGGCTCGCATTTGAGCACTATAAGATTTCTAGCTGATACCTTGCAGAGTGTTATCTGTTGCGATTTGTTTTCTTATAGGAATTTTTTCCATTAGATTAGAATCATTAGATTTGAACAAAGCCAAACAAAATCATGAGTCTTCTTTGGGCTTTTCACAAGTCTGATAACCAGCCGAAAATAGTTTTAGTTCTACTGTTATCTATGCCGTTTTATCTATTACTATAACACAAATTGCTATCTTTATTAAGTAGATAGTTCATTGCTAATTCACCGAAGAAGGAAAAAGTTTGGCATTGTCACCCGGAAGCCCAGCTAAGTGTAAAACAATAACAGTACTCGCTATCATTCTATGAAAAGTAGTTACAACATAACAAGCCTCCTCTAATCCATTTTGATTAGCGAGCGTCTACGATACGAAAGAAGTATAGGCCTGTCTTGCATAAAATCTCGATAGCACTGCTATCGTTGCTACAGTATCATGACAACACATTTATTCCAGTATTACCTTACTTTCTTGATAAGACCGACGACCGCTAGAAGGGACAACATGGATCGCCCCAGCACCACCCTGTAGAGATTTTAGGGAAAAAATCGCTCAGCCACTTCCGCAGTGTTTTATGGTTTGCACTGCTTTGAACACGAGCCTTTGAAGCATTCAGAGAAAAAGCTAAAGAATGAGATATCTTTGTTGCAATTTCTGCATTATGTGAGCAACCTAGGACATTGAGATGGCAACATGTGACAAACCGATGAGAGTTAGATATCATCAGGGGCCTAAAGTTTTCAACTACTCTACGGAATTTAAAATGAAAATACCACATTTCCAGGACTAACCAACCAAGCATGAATCTTTTTGACTCTTAATCAGTATAACATTGTGATTTCAACTACAGCCGCAGTTTTACTGGGTTCTATGCCGATTTGGGCGCTCCAGGTCAATCCCGCTGACGGGTGATTGCTGTGGCAAAGATCGGTAGAAATAGCTGAGAGACAGGCGAAACGAAGGACCCGCATGGTGTGGTGGTGAACGCGTTACTACCCGAAAAGGACAATAGCGCGTTCGTTCCCCACCATAGACACCTGCGGTCCAAAGTTTCGCAAATATTTCAGCAACGTTGTGATTTTGATATCGTTATAGAATGATGATGTCTTCGCTGTGCAATTTTTATGCAGCTCACGAAGAATCTTTATACACTGAGTAGGGATTCCTTGACTGTCCAGGGCTTCCATGACTGCTTCTATCTCAATTGAGTTAAAAGTCTTCTTTAAATCGATGAAAGTGAGATAGAGCGCTCTTTTTTAACCTCGCAATACTTTAATGAGTTTTGTTGTCGTGTGGATGCGGTGCATCGTACTAAATGCTTTCCGAAACCCTGCTTGCTAACATGGCTGCCTTTCGTCCAGTGTGTTGTTAACCCTGTTTAAAATGATTCAATGGAATAGTTTGTTGAAGACCGACAGACAGTAGACAGAGTGGGTGAGGGGGCGATAGTTGCCGATTTCGTCGAAGTCACCCTCCATGAACAAATTCACGGCCTCGTTGGTCTTCCATTGAGGAGGGACCTGGCATTCAGACAGGTGACGTGTGAAAAGCCGAGCCAATGTGTTTATGAGGACTGGCGGAAAGTTCTTCACGTGTTCATATCTTTTCCTGTCTGGACCTGGTGCCGTTCGATTTTTCACCGACGAAATAGCACGCCGGATTTCGGAAAGGCGAACCGGTGGTACAACATATCCATCCTCCTTTGTTTCATATGAGGTCACGAGAATGTGGCTATTGAATAGATCTGAGTAGTAATCGTGAATGATTTTTTCCATTGCCTTTCTACCAGCGGTAACTGTTCCTTCTGGGCGTCGAAATGTAATCATTTCGGTTCTGCAATTGACAAAACTTCGGTGAGCTTTGTGAATGCTCTTTCCGGCCTCTGCAGCTTTCACCATATTCCAGCTTAGTGATACACTTTTTCCTGTTTCTATCCTATTGCTGAGATCGAAAAAATGTTGCACAAACGAGGAGGTACTCGGCAGCACTGGTAAGCTTTGTGAGACCAAATGACAGCGAGTTGGGTTAATTGTAGTTTTTACAGCTTGATATTAGCGCAGGCTACAATTTTCTCGACAGATGGTTGTTATTTAGCTGTGAGCAATTATTGTCGGCGAAGTCGCACTTAATTAAAAGAACGCGGAACTCATACGGAAGAACGCTCTTGTATGCATACTATTTCCATATACGGTCTGTTTTCACTTGTCATATAGAGGGAACAATTTTCATCTTAGTAGCTTGTTGCTGTCTGGGAAAAAATCTTTTACTCTACGGTGATGATTAGGAGAAAGATAGAGAGGTAGTTAGAGGTACCTTGCAATACACAGTGAATCAATCGATCTCTGGTTCGATTACGCGCTGCCAACCCACCAAGCTTGCCATCCTCCTGAAGGTGCGGAACTGGTGCCAAACGTCTGAGAGGATAAAAACACTGGCTTGATATTGCTAAGATATTGTCGTTGTATTTCGCTTAACACCTTGCCATAAAAATTATAGAAGGCAGAAAATAAAAAGTAGACACTGGATTGATATTTAACAGGTAACTGCAAGCATTTAATGGAGCAGATATGAATTTAATCACCTCTAACGGTGACTAGTTAAGTGAAATACATAGCGAATCCTATTGGGATTCTTCATTGTAGAAGCACTTTAACCTATATCCTTTTTAACGTGCTTTGTTAAATCGCCTTTGGGCAATCAGTCGGGTAGTCAAAAAAATGTAGTCATCCTGGTAATCGTTCTTGTCCTTGAAAAATCCAAATCAGAAGGCAGTAAACCTTCCTTCGAACCACGAAATTGTTGGTGTCCACGCACGGTGAAAGCTGGAAACGTGCTTGCATGGCTCTCACAGGACTTCGACGAGGACTCCACAGATCTTCAAGTTGCATTTGAAGTTATGTACGAGATCGATTGCCTCTTCAATGACGGTTGTGACACAGCCAGTTAAATGAAAGCAGCGCTCCGACCGACACGATATGTAAATAGGGGCCATCTAAATATCTGAGTCTCGCGTTGACCATGCAAGTGCCTTCCGAAATCGTCGTCACAGAAAATCTCTGACTCTGGTTATCATGTAGTTATTTTTTTTTATTTCTCATGCTGAATTTGAGTTTTGAGCAAGCATAAGAAATTTGCGCTTGTCTTTTAGCTATAAGCTTCGATCTCACCTTCGGGTTAGGGAAGTGATCGCAGAGGGATCTTCCGTATATCGCAGCCGGACACTCGAAAACATTTCGGGATAGCAGACCGTTGAGGACGCATAGTCGTAATATTTCCCTGGAATCTTTTTGAATATACTTTATTTCATTGACGAGCTTACACGAGGTTGCTAGCAAATATCTATTCGGTTAACGTCTAGACGTCTTCATTTTTCCCAGAGACAGTGGTCCAAACGAATGGCCCACAGTCGTTCGTCTTCTCGATATGGTGTCTTCGTCGTGTTTTTGAAGGGTTTTCCTGTTTTCCTGCTGCGTACATCTCATTGAACGGCTTCAATCACACAAAGTGGCTCCCTCTAGTCCAGCGGCTCTTGTTAAACCGATGTGAAATTGATGAAATTGATGAATAAAGAGGAGTAAAAGCGAGGAATTAGTTTTATATTTGGTTAAATACGAAAATTTGCTCAAAAATAAAAGAGAAATACTCTAAACCAAAATAGGGCCAATTGCAGTATTACCGTACAGCGCCAGTTAGCTGCTTTGTGTGTTTAGTTTGATCACGCCTTGATTTCTTCCCATGCCATCCAATTATGGCGAAATGTCTCACTTGTTGATTGAGCTTTTTTAAAAGAAATGATTTTTGATGAACTCCTTAAGTTTAGAGAGTCGTTCTACGGTCCAGTTGACATTTCTGATGAGAAGGAGAGCGCTCAGTACGGTGAGAAGATGTTCACACCGAAGTATCCCTTCTATACTGAATAATCTGAAAGCCGTCAATCGTTCACCTTATCTGATTGACTATGATGGTTTTTCTCAATGATTCTCTAATGTATTGTGTAAAAATCTTGTCAGTTCTATTTTTATTGCTTAAATGTGCCTGTTATACGGCTAGGAATGGATGCATGACTATCGTTTCCTCTCGTTTCTCTTCTCTTTTTTTCTATTTTTTACACTCAAAGACGGTAGATGGCTCACCGTTGCAATTCAACGTCTCATAGCTCCAAGCACCAATAGAAATTCATGCCCTCATGGACTCCGTTGAACCACTACGGATTGCGATACCACGATTTTGAACCGTTTTAAACATTTAACTAATGTTTTTTGTGTTAAGAAGAAAGTATTCCGGACAAAAAATAAACATAATAATCGGAATAAAACAAAAGTGTGCCATAAAACGTGCATAGATGCTAAATGCGATGAAGAATAAGATGAAAGAAACTTAAATGTTTCAAGCCCAGACCACGGAGAAACGGCAATGTTAAGAGAAAACCTATGAGCTAAAAGCTATAAAGGGCGCTTAAGTGTTGCCAGCACTAGCTCAAAAGATAGGCAAAAGGGCATTTAGTCCTCGACTAGTGAACCTACCATAATTTCTGTAAAAGTAGAAGACTTTCCAGTTTCCATCCTCGTTGAGTTTACTTATTCCTTGCTCCAAAAGAAGCACTTACTGGAGAATTGCTTGTCTGCTTACCTGGAGACTTGGACTGTCCATCTTTACAACTTGTGCTGATCCCACCGCGTCTTCCGTTCGATTCTTTACCTCGTAATCCTCGTCATGGTTGTGGTTCGATCCAACCACTGTACCCGTGTGAGTCTCATACTATTATCTCTAGGACAACTGCAGCTGCGACTACAGTTGCCTGATTTTATCTGTGAACACGGCCGCCTGACGTGTCGTGGTCGTCCTAAGAGTCGCTTGCATCCCAGTGTAGCCCAATGGAGTCCACTCTATAATTCTCTTCTCCCATCCGTCATCTGTTCTTTCCATGACATGACCGACCCATCTATGTCTTTCTCACGATGGGAGCTCAAATCCTCTTATTTAGGCGAAATGTTTTGTGTACTGGTTATATTCCACATATTTCCCTAGGCATCGTTCAAGCGCTTTGTGTGCAGTGTGTAGTAAACTTGACCTCGTTGGGATATGAGCCCAGATCTCTGCTGCACAATATAGCGCTGGGAGGACTATTGAGTCGAAAAGGTGAGCGCGGATTTAAGGATTATTTAGTCGGTCGGTGGCTTTTTTGAGAGGGCCGAATGCGGGCCATGCTGCTCTCTTTTTTCTGTTTACTTCTTCCTATATGTTGTTTCCCATGTTCATTGAACGCTGAAGGAACGAGGTCGCCTCCATAGTTAGAGAACCATCCATGTTGATCTGTTCACCTTTGTATCATGGGTTTTTCATGAACTGGGTCTTCTTCCAGTTTATGCGTAGTCCTGCTTTTTTCTCGCTTTATCGAGCACTCTGATGATCGGCCTCTACTTCATTAGTACTTCTTGGAAAGATGAAGGTGTAGTCGGCGAAACGAAGATTTGATAGGAAACTCCCGACACAACGCATAGCTTCCTCATTCTGGAGAACTACATTAAGGAAAAGACGATTTGGGCACGATTATCATCTCTACTACGGTGATTAAAAAAGAACAAGTCATACGTTGATAATTAATTTTCTTTAGAGTTCTTTTTTCGTTGTCTACGGTTATAAGTGCGAAACATTTTGTGCGGATTACCAATAAGTAACAATTTCTTCATGCTCATTGTTCCACAGATCTTTCACATTAGGAAGCAGAGTTCATTCCAGCCTTGAAGCTGCGGTTTGAGTACTTTTGTATGCTGATGGGAACTAAAAGGCGGAATAAATGCGATAAGTATTCGCCATGAGGAAGTGGTAGTAGAATCGGACTTAAGGTCTATCTGCATTTCTACCGCACCAGAATCCAGCAAGGAAGGAATTGCTATACAGTGCCTTCTGAATTGGTACTTGATACTTGAACGGCTCGTTATCACTAGTTGCACGGTCTCCAGCATGATCACCATTTTTCGGAAACTTGCTGCTTAAGCCATTGTGGTTCTCTGGAATCCCGAGGGCAGCCTGGCCAAAGTTTGCCCCAGGTCGTCATCACCACAGGCAGTCGCAGCCTTTGTGGATCAGAGGGAGATTTACCACCATGCGAGTTTGATACCAAGACGGTGGTGGATCCCGGCGTTGGCTTACTCTTAGCTAGATTTTCTGATGGAAGCGCCGCACTCCTTTTCTGCTTGGGAGACCCTACCGAGGAACGAATCCCTCGCTGTACATCGCAGTCCGACGCCTAGGAACACCTCTCAGCCACGATGAGACGGTAAACCGTTGGGAGATCCTTCATGACAGAATCTACTAACGTCCGCTGCATTTATACATTTCTGTCAGGAGAGGTTCAAATAAAATAGAGCATAGAAAAAAGATAATGCTTCCATGTTCTCCAGAAAGCGAGTCTCACAGATCAGCTGAACGGAGGATAGTTGAGCGGCTGGCGTCTACTTGGCACATGTTCAATGATGAATGTGGTTATAAGGGATTCAGGTAATGGCTCGTTTCCGTGCAGCGTAATTAATTTAGCACTGTTTAAGTTTATAACGGCTAACATTGGCACAAAAGAATTTATGGGTCCAACGAATGTTTCTACAAAAAGGATGAGCTGATGAAGCACACGATTCGTCACGATATTATTACACGAATTATTGTGATATATGACATAATCGCTAACATTCTAGAGCATTTATAGGTCTAAAATTTTAAACAAGTGTGGAGAATTTGAGAAAATTGATAAACTCGAAGTGAGAGTATCAAAAATATCGTATGGATTTGTTATCGTGGCAACAGATACTGTAGTAGATACTACACCACACTTTTGATAGCTCAGCGCTTTAGCGCATTACTCAGTCTAGCCGGTAGAGTAATCATGTCGAGAACCTGTGGAAAATACAGCGAACTCTCGAAGAAGGTTCCAATCGTATCGGCGCTCGTAGCCACAGTGAAAAAGGCGGTAAAAGAAGCAAGTCGTTCTTCGTCATCGCTGGATCGCGCTTACATATGCGATCTCCATTTGGCAGCGGGATTTGTACTCAAAGATTAAGCAATCACATTCTTGAAGCGCGTTCCATGCTGATCACCTCTGATGCGCCATGTATTCGATTGCAATAAACTTTTAAGAGCTATTGGAAACTCAGTGACAGAGGCACTGGTAACTAATACGTGCAAGGTTACTAGTTCGAACGGCTCTGGGTCAATTGAACCTCCCATTCCTACGCAATCAGAATGTTGGTGCCAGAGTTAACAGAGAAGAGCTCTCTGTGATCGAATGAGTTGGGTGAGTGCCTCTGATGAGGCCGTGGGAAAGCAAGGCTATCACGGTATTCTAAAGTTTTAAAAGCCCAGCAAGAAAATTTAATAACAACCGCGTAATAGCTTAATTATCTAAAAGAAAACGTTGATACGTCATCCTGAAGGTAAGTCACTTACGAAATAACAAAAAGGGTTCCACCTTTTCAGATCCTGGGAAGACCAAAATATAGCTGGCCAAACACCTATGTAACCACAACACCATGATACCACGATAACCACGAAAACTAATTTTCAACAGTACTGGAAACAAAACAGCTTTCTACACACAAACGGCTTCCTATGAATATTCCATTTAGTTTTGTTTGTGGGGACTAACCGCACAGAGGTTGATAAATACATTTATTTTCGGCTAACGTTTCGACGTCTTCGTCTTCCTCAGAGCCGATGATCCGAGTCGATGGTCCATGATTGTTGTTCATCTCGACGTTGCAGCTTCGCCTTCGTGTCGAGCCAGGTCTTCCTCAGTGATCCATCTTCTCGAATGACGAAACGTTAGACGTCGAAACGTTAGCCGAAAATAAATATATTTATCAACCTCGTGCAAGCTTATCAAGAAAGAATGCATATTGATTAGTCACACCGAGGTTCAGGGAAAGTCGGTTTCGAAATAACCGCACAGAGTTCGATGGCTAATATGCCTCCTTCATATTAAAGTATCGCTTGACACAGTGTGTCAGATCACGCGTGACAATGCGGCATCCCTCCCTACGGTTCATTTTTGGATTCTTGTGATGTTTTCAGAATGCTTCGAAGGTTTTACTCGCTGACGTTTTCGATTTCTCTGCTAAGATGATGACTTCTACTTCAAAATCTTTCCCTTTGTGTCCCTGCATCCTATGCACGCCTAGTGGAGTATTTGGCTAAAATTCAAGTTTGCCGACTAGATATTGTTCTGTAAGCGTGCACAGATCGCCCTGCAACACACATGGGAGCTATTCCCGCACCCACGGCCAACGAAGCCTTCCATTCTTCCGAGGTCGGTAAATTGGTACCAGACCTGTCTGGGGAGAAAGCAGCACTGATTGGATACATCGGTAGGGCACGACTAATCATTGTAAAGGCCAAATATGCATTCAATCACCTTCAAACGATGCTTAATAAGGTAGAATGCATGGCTCATCCCTCAGGGATTGATCAACACCGAGAGTTTTATCCTTTGTCCTTTATACGGGCGCACAATTGCCTAACCGTTTGGCCAATGTATGCATTCGTCTCTGCACGCTTTTCAAGAGATAAACCGCACCCGAACTAATGCAATCACTCTCTATACCGTCATGGCAAATTATGGAATTCTGCTTGTGAATAGGCGATCACACAAGTGATTATGAACTAAGTGGAGTCTTAGAGTGCTGGGTGGCATTTTAGTCATTGCTACGTATTTCTCTAGTCCGGCAACTTTTAGGTAACGCCTAATGGCTGCACTTCGTTCGTTATAAATCAAGGGTGGGTAAACCGGACTTTATTCTCGCTAGAATTTTGGCTTAGGGGCATAACTCGAAAGACTGACTTTCTATAAACCACAGCATAAATATTTCGAAACCGACCTTCCCTAAACCTCGGTGTGACTAATCAATATGTATTCTTTCTTGATAAGCTT